TTTCACTGAAAGCCTATGTGGCTAGTATGTATTATCACCTGGGGTTTATCCAAAGGATGAGCTGAACCTTTTCTGGTCCTTTGCTAAGTTTATTTGCTGGCAGGCTGGGCCATCTGACATTGAGCTCAAAGCTTGAGGCAGATATTACTCAGTAAATTCGGCCTTCTTTTCTGTATGTGTGTCTTTTGTTTCAGTTGTGGAAAGGTTCTCCACTGCACAGTATTAACTCTGATTTTTTCCACTTCTCTCAGGGTTCATCGGAGATGGACTTCTTCAGTGAATATGGCGATGCTAATAGATACAAAATTCAGGAAGTCATCGGTAAAGGGAGTTACGGTGTCGTCTGTTCAGCTATTGACCAACATACTGGCGACAAGGTGGCAATCAAGAAAATACACAATATCTTTGAGCATTTATCTGATGCTGCTAGGATCCTCCGTGAGATCAAATTACTCCGCCTATTGAGACATCCTGATATAGTTGAGATCAGGCATATAATGTTGCCTCCGTCAAGGAGGGATTTCAAGGATATTTATGTCGTCTTTGAGCTGATGGATACAGACCTCCACCAAGTCATCAAGGCCAACGATGACTTGACCAAAGAGCACCACCAGTTCTTTCTCTATCAGATGCTTCGTGCACTGAAATATATTCATACCGGTATGCTGCTTTTTTCAAATTGAGATCGGAGTTAGCATACAGTTCTTTGTTGTCGTGCTATAATCTTTCTTGAATATCCAGTAGGTATTTATATCCATACCCTATCTGTAGTTCGCTGCTGATGCTTTGCTCCGCTCCATGTGGAGCATACACAATTTGGAGAAATGCACTCACACATAAAATTCAGTCTAGTGCCAAAGTTAAAAAGGCACTAGGTGTTAATTGTGCGTTTTGCCACCGCCTTGTGCTTTTCTGAGCAAAGCCTACACTTAAGCGCAACTATACGCACATTAACCACAATTAAGCGCTAGGCATTTTGCTATCGCCTAGAGCCTAGGCGTGCTTAAGCACCCGCCTTAGGCGCGCCTTTTTTAACCAAGTGCTAACCCAATAACCATGTCCGCCATATTTTAGAGAAAATTGTCCTTTGTCCCACATTAGTTATGTTCTTGTTGATCATTTGTCTTCTGATGATTTTGATATTTGGCCTTTCATTGACCTGAAAAATATCTCCCACTTTGTTTCATGCTTTTTGTTGTGAAATGTACACTTCTTTGTATTTACCTTTAATGTCATCATGATTATTTTCCACTATCCATTGTTGAGCTACTAACATTATCAGCTTCAAAAATCATCCATTTCCAATTTAAAATGCATGTTCATTTACCATTGTCTGTGATCTGACCAATATTTATATGATTGCAGCTAATGTTTATCATCGTGATTTGAAGCCAAAGAATATATTGGCAAATGCAAACTGTAAACTCAAAATATGTGATTTTGGGCTAGCACGAGTGGCATTCAATGACACTCCCACGACTGTATTTTGGACGGTATGTAAATTTTGGTACACTAGAATCACATCCTGTGTTATTTGCCAAATTAGATTTGTATTCAAAGGTAGTTTTTTGGCACTTAATTTTTATCTTCTATTCATCATTGTTTGCAGGATTATGTTGCTACTAGATGGTATAGGGCTCCTGAGCTTTGTGGATCTTTCTTTACTAAGGTAACTAGTCTGCACATCTCTGTTGTGTTTGCTAGGATATCTTGTGCGCTACTTTCCATATAAACATGCCTCATGCAATTGCTGGGCAGGCTATGCTGTTTAATATCACATTATTCTTGCACACATAGTAATAAAAGAAGATAAATCAGTGTCACAACTCACAACCTATACAAGGTTTCACTATGGTGTTCCACGTAGTCTACAGCTGTGCTGTACAGTGGATATATATATACATGACATGAGACCGAATTCAAGGTTCATACGACTACTAGATCCTACGTAGTCAGCTGGTCTTGCTAATAAAATGACAATGCAAACCCTTCTAGAGCCTACTGTTTTCACAACTACGGAGTATATGCTACTCCCCTCGTCCCATAATATAAGAGCGTTTTTGACACTAGTGTAGTGTCAAAAACGCTCTTATATTATGGGATGAAGGGAGTAGTTATCATTAATACCTGATCTTTCACTCCTTAAAGGCTCCGATGTTGAATTCAGGATGCTAAATTGGTTGTTCTGTGCAGTATTCACCAGCTATTGACATATGGAGTATTGGTTGCATTTTTGCGGAGATTTTAACTGGGAAACCTTTGTTTCCTGGTAAAAATGTAGTTCACCAGTTGGATTTAATGACTGATCTCTTGGGTACGCCATCACTGGATACTGTTTCCAGGGTACGCTTTTCCATTCATGATTCATGATCCAAAGTAAGGTATCCATAAATGTCAAGCATCCTAATCCCTTTCAACTGCAGATCCGGAATGAGAAGGCAAGGAGGTACTTGAGTAGTATGAGGAAAAAACAACCGGTATGTTTTTCTGAGAGGTTCCCCAAAGCAGATCCTGCTGCATTCAAACTTATGCAGCGGCTTTTAGCATTTGACCCCAAGGATAGACCAACAGCAGAAGAGGCAAGTGTTTCTAGATAAAACTAAAGATTCAAAAACAGGTGTTAAAAACTTTGTCATTCTAACAATGTTTATGTGCACATCATAATCAGGCATTAGCTGATCCATATTTTAAAGGCCTTGGGAAGGTAGAGAGAGAACCATCCTGCCAGCCAATATCGAAATTTGAGTTTGAGTTTGAACGGAAAAAGGTGACAAAAGAGGACGTAAAGGAACTTATATTCCGCGAGATATTGGAGTATCATCCTCAACTTCTCAAGGATTACATGAATGGAACTGAAAAAACGAACTTCCTATATCCTAGGTTTTTACCATAAGATCTCCTCGATTTTTTTTCCATTAAATACCAATTTTCATAACTGATCCGTTCTTGGTTCCTATGTTATTATGAAGTGCTGTAGACAATTTCCGGAGGCAATTTGCTAACTTGGAGGAAAATGGAGGGAAGGGAGGGGCAATCGTTCCATCGGACAGGAAGCATGTTTCGCTCCCCAGGTACCCACTGCAAGATTTTACCAATAGTATATGCTGTTATGTTCTGCTTTTTGTTAAAAAAAAGATGCCATTAAATTAAATAAATAGCTCATGTGTGCATGGTTAAAATATAGTTCATTGGTGATCTCATGGTACTATGGAATCGCTTTCCATGACAAAAGATGGTCAGGTAGTCAGGAATTTCAGTTCAAGTTTGATGATTTGGCACGATAATTTCAGAGACTGTCACTCAACTTTGCTTGCTGACATTTAGTTTGCATTTGACAGGACTACTACAGTTCATTCTACACCAATTCCTCCAAAAGATCAGAAGTCTTCCCAGGTTCCCCAAAGGATTCCAACAGGTAGTAGTTTCTCCTAAGTAGAAGTCTAGTGTTCTATTTTCTTCAGATGGCACCAATATGATATGTATATTATCCTTTGCTGCAAAATTTGCAGGTAGACCAGGAAGAGTGGTTGGCCCGGTAATACCATTTGAGAATTCATGTGCTATGGATCCTTACAGTCAACGAAGGGTGGCAAGGAATCCAGTACTTCCTGCAGCTGCTACCAATGTATCAGCATACGCATACCACCGAAAGTCAGACAGTTCAGAGAGAGAGTTACAGCAGGAGCTTGAAAAAGACCGCATGCAGTACCAACCGATGCAGCGTTTCATGGATGCCAAGATGGTCTCCCCTGACTTGAGGTCTACCTCCTATTACATGCCAAAGGGTGTCCCAAAAGCAGATGTAGCAGAAAGGACTGGTTTGCAGCCAAACATGATGCAGGGAATTGCCCCGTTTAATGGCATTGCTGCAGTTGGAGGTAGCTACAATAAGGCCAGTGCTGTTCAGTATGGAGTTTCAAGGATGTACTAAATGATCTAGTGCAATGGCTACTTCCAAAATGCTTGGCTTAGCTGAAGAAATAACATGGAAGAATCGAAGTACTTCCTGAGTTGCCTTATAGGCTGAAGGTTCAGACAGTGGATCGATGATCTTTGATCGAGGAGGAAGTTGATGTCTCGTGAAGAACAAAAAAAAATAAGATTATGCAAAGACAACATCCTACCTGTTGATCTAGCTGCCAAGGAAAGAATGACATCTGGTAACTTGCTGCTAAGGGGAAAAGCCGAAGTTGGGGGTACAAGATGATTGAGGTCTATGTACTTTGAAAGAACGGAAACATTTCGGAATAATGGAAATGGTGAACTTCTGTACATAAATAACTTGATTTTTCTTTGTATTACTGTCGGCTAGAGCTGTCAGTTTTGCTCCATATTCATGTGGCAATGTGATTTATTTTTCTGGGTTTGAAGCACTTATGCAGTTATGCTCTGTAGGAGTTCAGCGTTGTAATACTTTGGAGTATGTTTAGATCTGTAATAGAATAACAAGACCAAACTTCAGTAAGATAGAATGGCAATGAACAGCTAGTTTTGGGGGTTGTTGGCTCAACCGTGGTACTTATTAAACCAGGGTTGGTATAGAAGAACAGTAGAAACATAAAAGAGCAAGGTACTGATCATTTCCAAATTAACTTAATGTCTAGCCTTGTCATAACTTAAACTTTTTAAAGTTTGACCAAGTCAATATATCAATGTTTGCAAGACCACACTACATTCATCATACAATATATTTGGTATTATGTACTCTCACAAATATAAGATGTTTGAGATATTTTAATATGGGTTACATACGAACTAAAATGAGTGAACAAATACACTAAAATGTGTCTATATCCATCTGAGAAAAGAACTACTCCCTATGATTAATATTGATCAGGGAGTAGAACTTGTATTTGTGAACGGAGGGAGTACATTTGAAAACTTAGTCAAATACTAGAATGGTTGGGCGGCTTTGCTGCGCCGCTGGTGTTATTGAGTTTTCATAAAAGAACGTACTCACTCTATTTCAAAATATAAGGTGTATTATTTTTTGAAAAGTTAAAACTTCTTTAACTTTGATCAAATTTGTAAAGAAGTATGTCAAAATCCATAATATAAAATCGATATCATTAGATTCATCATGAAATGAATTTTCATATTTTTATTTATCTAGTACCAGTACCGTGGATGTTGATATTTTTGGCTCTGAACTTGCTCAAAGTTAAAGAAATTTGACTCTCCAAAAAAACAATACACCTTATGTTATGGAACTGAGGTATGCGTTTGGTGAGGGGGGGGGGGGAGATAATGGAGTGTGTTTTATTTATATTTATATAATGTGATGTTTTGGTGGCCTTTCGAGGTGTGATTCTATGTTATCTGTTAATCAACCCATATTTATGGGGTAATTTTTTTCGGTCGGTGGCTGCATGTACTATATTGGTGCTAGAGTATCACAGACACTTCTTTTTTCTAGGTGGTGAGAGGGTGTGCCGGATTGATATTCTTTTATAGGAAAGTTGCTGCTAATTGATTTGAACAATCATTGGTGACAAGAGTGATGGTGATAGGCTACTCTCCCACGAAGCGCTAGAGCATCGCTGACCGTTTTAACTGTCAGTTGGGTTCCTTCCCCACGAAGTGCTAGAGCATCGCTGGCCGTCTTAATTGTCAGTTGGGTTCCTTCCCCGCGACGTACCTGGGGATACCCGTCTGCTTATCACCCTCCCCAACCCAGAAGAATCTGGCCTGAACCTTGGCAACCTCATGATGGAGGGTCTCATGAGGCTGTAGAAACTCATGATGAATAGGAGCAGGCTGGACAGAGAGGAGTTGATGAGGGTCGTCCGTGCCGCCTTAGACAGCCATCTACCCTGACAAGGCTTGATACGGAGTTGGAGCTTGGCCTCATCAACTCCTCTCTGTCCAGCCTGCTCCTATTCATCATGAGTTTCTACAGCCTCATGAGACCCTCCATCATGGCCAAGCTCCAACTCCGTATCGAGCCTTGTCAGGGTAGATGGCTGTCTAAGGCGGCACAGACGACCCTCATCAACTCCTCTCTGTCTAGCCTGCTCCTATTCATCATGAGTTTCTACAGCCTCATGAGACCCTCCATCATGAGATTGCCAAGGTTCAGGCCAGATTCTTCTGGGTTGGGGAGGGTGATAAGCAGGAATACCATATGGTTCGCTGGCCCGATATTTGCAAGCCGCACGACCAGGGCGAGCTCATGATCATGTCCTCCAAACGCATGAACATCGCCCTGCTGACTCGCTGGCTTTGGAGAATTACAAATAGGGACGACGACCTTTGGTTTGACATCATCCGAAATAAGTATCTGCGCGGTCAACCACTTGCCTTATGTCAGCGCTCTAGCGGATTGCAGTTCTGACAGTCCATCATCCAACTACTTCGGTTCTCCGCATTGGGACCTCCATCTCGATTGGACCCGGTGCCGCCACCTTGTTCTGGTTCGAGAGGTGGGTTGGGGATCTCCCATTTGCTGCTCGGTTCCTCGACTTGTTCTCCATCGCGGTGGAACCTAGGATCTCCGTCGAGGTCTGCCTTATTGACTTGGGGAGCCTCACGTTCCGGCGGCCATTTGGGCCTCCGGACCTTGTTGCGTGGCACGGGCTCCTTGACTGCATCGCTCTTCATGAGCCGGACGTGGATCTAGCGACCGATCGCATATCCTGGTGTCTGGAGCCTTCGGGTGTCTTTTCCACTAAATCCATGTACCAGGCCATCATGCGCACACCTACCCCTTTGCCTCTATCTGCGGTGAGGATTATTAGACAGCCGCTGAAGATTAGGATCTTCTTGTGGTAATGGATTCAGGGTCGGATCCCTTCAGGTGTGGAGGTCCTCAAGAGGAATGGTCCTGGTGACGGGATGTGCCCCCTATGCGGGACAGACGAGGACTCGAATCACATATTCTTCACTTGCTTGTCCGCTCAATTCTTCTAGAGTTGCTTTCGGGAGGTGGTCGGCGCCGTCCCCTTTTGTCTGAAATCAGGCCTCCCCTTAGCCTGGTCGCCACATTAGGTGGCTGGGGATTGAGGTCCTTCCTTGGACACCGTGGACGGTCCGCAATGAACTTGTGATCCAGCGGGTGCCTCTCAGACGTGCTACTAACGCAGTTTTTAAAATGTGTGGTTACTTGCAGCTATGGCGGCCGCTTAGCCGCTCTCAGGATCGAGACACCATCAACACCATCATTGTTGATCTTCACGTGATGGCTCTCCGCTTGGCGTTGCAGCTCCCTCCGCCACCCCTCGAGCCAGATTAACTTCTTCTCGGATGTGCCGCCATCTTTGTTTCGTTTTTGGGCTTGTTGAGTTGTGCCCTCAACACAACCCTCTCGTACTGTCGTATTTGCTACTTTTGTGGCGTTGGTGGTTTGCTTTATATATAAAGCGGGGCGGAAGCCTTTTTTGGTAAAATCGTTTGTCCGGTCAAAATCGTGAACCAAATCCAAAATTAAATATCTCAATTAAACGAAAGAGCTGCAAAATTAGTGAGCTTAGTGAATTAAAAGAATTGAATGAGATAGCTCCTTGAGAAGTTGTTGTCCCAGTCAAAATCAGAGGAATTTAGTGGTTAATGGTATGAACCTCTTTACCAACAAGAATATTACATACAACCTATTCAAGATAGTCTAAGCGTTTTTTTAAAGCTCGCCTCCTACCTTTTTTTACCAAAACAATGTTTATTGATTAAGAACAATGTTTACAGGGATAATTGTTTGGTCATAAGGCGATCCCAACCATAGATGCCTTCCATGAGGAAGAAGAACACCATATCTAGCTATGTTATAGCTTCGAAATTTGAAGCTCGAGGTTCAAACACAAAATTGCAAGAGGTAAAAACACTCGCAATCTCTTTGATAATACCATATAATTCTCTCCAGCCTGCTGATGAATGTGATTGATAACCTACTTGCAATCGCTTCCTACGTAGACGTTGCCCGACTTGGCCACCTAGCATACTAAGGGCGTGTTCGGTAGCTCTCTCGCTTCTCAAATCCTCATTCCATGCACGGAGCCCAGCTGAACGCGTCCGCTCCTGGCTTTTGGACTGAGAAGCTGGCTAAATATGCTAGTGCAAATTCGAAGGAGTCACGGAGTTGAGAAAACCGAGCTCCTGCGAAGCTGAGAAGCGAGATTTGCTTGAAATTACATACTGCTGCCACCGCCAAGTGTACCGGTTCGAGCGCGACCCCTCGTCCTACCCACGAGCGACAGACTTTCGCGTTCCTCTCGACATGATCTCCATTCTTTTTGCCAGCGAAGCCGCAAGGATCCCGTGTCGCGCGCCGCCGGGCCGCGCGAGGAGCTGGTTCCCGCCGTCCCCGCCCTCTGCCGCGACCAGCCAAGTGCGCTCCCCGACGTCACGCTCCCCCGCGCCTCCGCGGCCTGCGCCGCCGCCCGCGCAATGGCATGGTGACATGCACCTCCGAGCGCTCGAGATCTGCCGAGACAACGACCAGAGGACGCCCTCGTAACCTGCTCCGTCAAGACCCTCGCACACCGCCGCCACCCTCATCCCCTACCACCTCCTTGAGCATGAGCTCGTCGGTTGCCTCCCGGTCTCCCGGAGCATCTCCCCGAACAGGAGAAGAAAGGGGAAAAGTGTCTCAGCCGCTAAATGGGCTTGTGTCCTAATGGGCCACCAGGCTATAAGTGGGATTTCGGCCTTCTCTAGCTGCCAGAAGCAGAAGCTCTCGAGCCGAACGATTTGGCAACTCCAGGATTTTTACGAGAAGTTGGCTGTTGTTTTGGGGCCGAGGATTTGAGGAGTTTGGGGCCGTGGACAGCTACCGAGCACGCCCTAACCCACTAGGATGCGTGCTTGGCACATGGTGGGCCGACACGCCACGTGACTAAGTGGGCCATGCCTTGCATACAACACACCTGAGATATAGTGCATGGTCTACGAGGCTAGGCCTGACCTTTTTTTTACTTATATTTATAATAGGCCCAGAAGACC